AACTTGTCAATAAAATACTTGAAAAGTTTGTTTTTTTTTAAATTATAAAAAAAAAAAAGGAAAAAAGGAAAAAAAGAAATAATTTATTTAAGATTGTTGCATAAGCAAGATAAATAATTGACGAAGGTTGTATTCAATCGTGATCAATTTGTTCTAGTGCATAAATTGTTAACTAATTATCTTATTATATTTTATTTTAAATTTTAATATAATAAAAATCTAATTTGACAATAATATTCAATTATTTGACTTTTTCATCCTTGAGTTGAACTTATTCTTGGTCTTCCTGGTTATATTTCATTAATTATTGATGATATTAAATATATAACAATAGATAGATGAAACAATTATTTTCTAAGTCAAATTTTTTCTTTTTTTTTTTGTTTTTGTTTAAAATAGTATTGATAAAAGTGAATATTTATTATTAAATATCTCGATAAAATATATAATCGAGTGCACTCTTCATTCAAATCGATATTAGTTAAACAAATACCTTTTAACAGAAAAGTTATCTTTAATTCTATAGTACTTTTTTTCAGAATCATTTTTGACTCTTCGAAGATAAAAAGAGTGTGTGAAGTCTGACTTTTATAATTAGTATTTTACCCAAACTTCTCTAGTCAAATCCATACTCGATCAGATTAAAGAATAGTCAAATCCAAATCTAAACCGATTCGAGAAATAAAATTCGTTTATTTTCACAAAATAAATCAGTTTATTTGACATAAACTATTAAAAAAGGTGTTAGTCCGACTGTTATTTGATTAAAAATTGTGAAAAATGACATAGATAGATCTGACTTCTCTCTCCTATAGTTTACTGTTTTAATCAACTACTCTTTTCATATTTTCTAATTAGTCAATAAAAATTCGATAGATTATAGTTTTCTATACAATTTCAGTCTCAGTCTGTGACCAAGGTAACATTGCTAAGATCTCTATCATATCCACAAAGTGATATAAAAGTCAGTTAATCGAAAAAAAAGTTTCATATCTCCATAACGAGTTCGATGAAAATAGGTAATTTTTGTTATTAATTGAAGAGACATTTTCAAGGTTTATATTGATAAATAGATGCCTAGACTAGACCGTTTTGTTAAATATCCTTTTTGACCTTTTCACAGATAGGAAAAAACGCATGAACGATGAAAAAGAGACAATTTATCAAGATAATGTGTAAATAATAAAATATTCTTTTCATTGTCAAGTGTCGTTGATTTATATATATTTTCTATTCTTATTTAAGTGGTTTATTAAACGAGAATTTACATAATTCAATGATAATCAATCTGTCGTTCTCTAGGTGATCGTTGTCAGATTTGTTTTATGGGTCATAAGGCAACACAATTTTATCATTTACATTAAAGTATTGTTCATTTTTTGTTAAAGAATATAAAGAAAAAAATTGATTGTTGGATGGTGATATTCGTTTTATCATCTCAATAAATAAGCATAAGATCTATTTTATAATAAAGAAAACAAATATCAGTGAGCATTTTCATTTTTTCTTGATAACCTATCCTTTACTTATCGTATATTGATTTATTTCTATTTGTGAAAAAGTTTAAATTTTTGTTAAGGTCAATTTTGATCGAAGTCGTTATGGATATATGAAATATTTTCTTTGTTTAACTAACTTTTGAATGAGATCTGTATATAGTAAAAGAATAAAAATAAAGTTGAAATTTTAACAATAATTATTCAAGTTTTTTTAATATTAACCTTATTTATCAATAATCATTCATAGAAAAATAAAATAAATAAATGAAGTTTAATCAATTTAAATCTGCTTGATTGGAATAATTCCCTAAACGAGATTATATTTATTTATAGGAAATCTCGAATAATTATCTATGTATTTCAGATTGCAATAGCATAATAGTTCCTCTTTATCAACCCAAAGAGTCAATAAAAACAACAAAAAAATGAAGTTTATCAGATAAAATTCGAGGGTAACTTCTACTAGAATCTTTAAGATGAAAATAAACTATTTCAATTGTTTTGACTTTAATAATTATTTTCGAATTAGAATCTAATTAGAATCGGATCTAAACAATATTTTCAAAATTGATTTCTGATCAGAAAAAATCAACGAATCTTAGATTGTTCAGCTTTTCTAACATAACCATTTGTTAATGGATTATTTTCAGAAAAATTCTCAAGGGAAAAAACTGATCTGACCTCTCATCTATCCTCTATAGATCAACTTTGAACAGATACTAATGCTCCAATTCTTACCAAATCAAACTTTTACATCAATCTATTTCGATTGTCGTGTTTTATCTTGACTCTAATGAATAATTATTCTCTTCTTAGAAATATTTAAAACTTGTCGGATTTTCTAACATCGAAATATCCAGAGTTCAGATGTGAAATAGATAGTTCAAACAACTAAGAACATGCGACTGTTTAGTTTTCGTTAATGATAATATGTTGTTGTTGTAGATGCATTGACCATTAGAAATCCAACCTATCGAAGAGTATGGACGGATGAGTAAGTGAGAGTGAAGTATGGATACAACATTATTCCTATATCAATATCTCCACCCACAGACACACTCTCGATATCTTTATAGATACTCATTCGTTTTAGTTGAAAATTTTAGGATATAATCAGACTCGTCAGTAGTATCATTAGAGAAATATTCATCGATCAATTTTTTGTTTCGATTTTTTTCATAATATTCTCCTATAGTCTGAAAAGTTAGTGGAATTATTATAAATCGAGAAGAATCACTTAGTGAACTTCTCTACTAAGAATAAATAATTATATCGAGATTGAACATTTATTACGATTTACTCATTTACGCAACTTGGCCCAGACAAATGGATAATATTCACGATCTCTCTATAAGTTACAATAATGACTTAAACAAACTTTTTTCCTCTTGAGAATGACTAAATCGAAGCAGTTTAGACTCAATGGATGTCTATCCAGACAGTCAAGACTGACAAAAAGAAAGGCGTCAAGAGAGTAGAAACTCGTTAAAAGTGAAAACAATTAGATTTTTTAAAATTGATGCGTTTTTACCAGTTATATACGAAATTTCGACTAGTTTTTGACGTATTTAAAATAGTGAGTATGTTACAAATCTAAAAGATCAGCTGAAAAACGTATGGACTATTTCCACTGCGGTAAGAGCTACCTTGTTAATTTCATTTTTTTTCTAACAATATAAAATGCATTGGATCAAACTGATTTCATTTTTTTAGATCAAATTAAACGCTCACCCTTTTCCAACTAAAAAGTAGATTTTTAAAAATAACTCTTTTCAATAACGACTTAATTATATATGAAAATGACTTAGAATTAGAGGCATAACCAGAAAAAAAACGTAGAAGGGTCTCTGCTTCCAACAGCGTAGATGGTCTTTGAGTGAGATATCAGTCAAACTGTTTCATCTTTCGTAATAACTTTAGTTTTTTTTCATTTTTAAAATGGTGTTCGAATGATAACATCTACAAAATATTCTTTCTCACGTCAGTCTTCAGTTTTCATGAGAAAATAATCGTAAAAAAAAACAGATAAAGACTTGTTTCACAAGAAAATACTGGAAAATATTCCGAGTTAATCAGAATATTGAATTTTCTAACGAAATACCGGGTGTTCCAAAAAGTCGTTTCCACTTCAATTTTTTGTATATCTTTCCTATTTAATTTCACTTAATCAACTATTATTTTTCTAAATGATAGGTAGATACATCGAGTTTTTATTTCTGAAAACAAACTTGAGAAGTATTGTTCAAAGCTAAGCCTTAGAATCTAAATAGAATAAATGCGGAAACTTCGGATTTAAATCCGAGAGTTATGTGTACTCCAAAAAGTGAATGAGACAGATGAGTCGTTCTAGAACGTGTGGACATCAAAATTATACTGGGGAACCTACCCTCTAAACTGTTGATTTCTATTGAGTATTGCCAAACTAATAGGACTTGGGACCGAATACAGAGAAAATTTCAACTCTTCCCCTTGATTTACTCTAAGAAAGTCGTTTTTCCTATAACTTGATTTCTATTGGTCACTGCTCAACCAATAGTATTTCGATGGAAGTGGAATACAGATTCGAGTTCTCCATCTCAGAAAACCTCGAAGTATCATCACTGTGATCGGCAGATAGAGCTCGATTTATGGATCAATTAGATCGTGGACAAAAATCTAACCTAGTTATCTTTAATTATCTTTGTGATAGATGAGCCAACCTTCTTGTTTCTTTATGTTTTATATATCATTTTGTAGCTCTTGAAATTCTCTATCGAATGGTATATAATAGTTGGGGTTTTATTTGACTATTCAAGGAAAAGTTTTTTACGAAAACAGAGAAGGGTCTATCTTCTCATAGAGAAAAATGACTATTTTTGCAATAACTCAGCAATGACTTGGCCAATCATTCTCATCTTCGAACTCGACCGAGACATTGTTAAGAGTAAACTGTGTAGAAAATTTCATCGCGATTGGACTCTTTTTTCAAAAGTTATCGTGTAAACGGCCGGACGGACGGACGGCCGGACACACTGACCGATTCTAGAGTGTACTCACTTTTTGAGTACACAAAAATGTTCCCTATTTTCTATTACAAGAAAACTATTATACAAAATTTCTTTTTTAATCACTTCGGCTTATTAAGTGGTTCAGATATGACTTCTTCAATTTTTGACGAGTCTTTTCATAAAATTTTACTTTGATATATCTTCATATAAACGAACTGAATCTTGTCACGCCAATATTCCACCAATTGGAAGAGATATCATCTAGAACTTTTTCTGGAAATAGAAAATTAGGGTAGATTTTTCTATTTAGATTCTAATTCTTAGCTTTGAGCAGTACTTATCAAGTTTGTCTTTAGAAATAAAAAGTCGGTGTATCTACCTATCATTTAGAAAAACAATAGTTGATTAAGTGAAATTAAATAGGAAAGATATAGAAAAAATTTAAGTTGAAGGAACTTTTGGGACACCCGGTATTTTTGTTTTATTAACATTGAATTTATTTCGACCTCAACAAATGAAATATACGGATAAAGTGATGATTCCAAAAGAAGATCATCCAGATGGACATTTTTTTGGTTTAATTATTGGACGAGGTAGTAAGACATTTAAAATGTTAGAAAAAGAGGTTTCTTTATTTCCTCACTTTTTTTTTTAATATTAACTATTTATGATACATTTAGACTCATGCGAAAATTATCATTCAAGGTTAAAATTCTACTATCGATAGATTCTTAGCTATAAATATAACATTTTTTTTTGAAGGTAAAGGATCTGCAAAAGATAGAAAAATTGATTTAGTCAAACATGCTTCATTATCAGGTGAAGACGAACCATAACATGCTTATATTACTGCTAATTCACCTGAAATAGTTGCGAAACTAGTAGAAAAAGTAAACACACACATAAAGAAAAAAAAAATATATTTCAGGTTTAAGAAATAATAAATAAAAGTATCGATGCAGCAGAAGGATTAAATGAATTACGTAAACAACGATTTCGACAATTAGCTTTACTTAATGGAACATTACGTAAAAATGATTGTCTTATCTAAATTTTAATCTATTATTATTAAAGAATTTTAATATTTCATTTGTTTTTAATAAGAAACTAAATTTAATAAATGAAGCAGAAAAGATTGTTACAAATACAATAATATTTACAATTTTTAGTGGACCTGATCATTTAACAATCGATTGTAAATTTCGTAAAAAACGAAATAATACTCATATTGAATTAAATCCTGATGGATCACTTACAATTAATGGAAATAGACAAAAACAACAAAAACTTTATTGTCAAGTTAGTTTTATGATAAAATAAATAAAATATATTTCATAAGAATTTTTATTTTTATATTTTTTGGTATCAATCATTAATCAATGAATTAATGGGTAACAGAAAATACAAATAGAAATACTTTATCATTAGATGATCAACGAAATTTAATGACTGGATATAAAACAACTGGACCTACGTTAGCTATTATAGATGAAACATCTTCATCAATAACAGATAGTAATACAACTATTACAACACTTCGGATTAAATCGTTCAATCAATACGAACAGGAATTATGTAACCATAAGATTATTATTAATAAACTTTAATAGATATTGTCAGTTTGTTTAAAAAAAGAGCAATTTAAATTAATATTATCATAAATAGATAATATTCGTTATAATGGATAATTGATAAAGAATGGAACAGTTTGAAGACAGCAGTATAGTTTAAAGACACTAGTTTAAGCTCATTCGATAGAGAATTTTTCACTGTAGAAATTTGTCGATATTGTTCTTAAAATAAGTTTCTCCTGTCACAGAAAAATGAAAAACATAAATAGCTACTCACCCAATCAATTCCGACCATCAGAAAATAAAACAATTATTAAAAATATGTTTAAATAACAATTCCACCGAAATTCGAAATATGATGCAAGATAAACTGTAAAAGGCTCCATCTTCCGATGTTTCGCAATTTTAGAAAAAGTTTTTGCTCAGAATAAAATAGTGTATCCAATTATATAATGATCAACCGTTGATAGAGCATGAGAATTATTGAAAAGACGAGTTTCAACAACAGATTCAAGATAAAATAGTAGGAGATGTTCGTTTCAACCTTTTTCTGCATGAATGACATGATTAGGAGTCATAAAAAGATGTTGGAAGCATAGAGCATATCATTCTCTATCTGTTGATGGTAAATACTTTACATTTAGCATTGAATTTGATGAGTACAAGCTTGAACAAATAATTAGCTATACTTAGAAAAAAAAGTAGGAGATCACAGTTGGTCAGTGAAGCAGCCGTCAATCTTTCTAATTTTTCGTCGAGAAGAAAAAGTTATTTGAAAAAAAGAAAGTCTACATGTTTATAAAGCGAAAAGTTCTCTATCGAATGAGTTTAAACTGATGTTTTTGAACAGTGTTTCTGTTGTTGAAAAATGGAAAATGAAACTGTTCTATTATTTCTGGACTACCCGTTCTATATTGTTATATGTTTATTATCTTAATAGGAAATTTCCATGGGAATCTATCATATGATTGAATACTCAATAAATTCATTAGAATCGAGCGTTTCAACTTTTGTTTATCTTTCTAACTTAAAAACCGAGGAAAATCAGAATTATTTTTTATTTTAATAAAAACAAATTCGAAGTTCTAATTTGCACGACACATTATATTTTAGAATTGAGTATATTAAACGACATTAGAAAATTATATTTCAATCCTTCATCTTCTTTTCTTTTTTCGACTCTTCCTTCATTAATGTCACTTAATACAAATAATAATAATCGAACGAATAATCCATTAAGTCATTCAAATACATCATTTAGTTAAACAGGTCTTCATTATAATAATAATAATCATATATTCGATGGTTATCACATTTTACGAGGAACAAATCGAAATAATAATTATTGATCATACATTCAATCTGATTCTTATCGAGCTCAACATATTCCACCTTTAATGACAAATGTGGCAAGTTAAAGTAATAATACTTAATTAATATCGTGCCTAAATTCTCAACAACAACAAAACTATTCAAATCAACAAGAATATTATCAAAATGATAATCTTGCTTTTACATCTCTATTACTTCGAGCACCTCCTCCACCACCGCTAACATTATCATAACAAAATTCTATTTTCTACTTGTTTTTTTTTAATCTCATCTAATTTTTCTGTATTGGTTTTCTTCTTTGATTTCTTAATTATTAAGCCAAGTTGTATCATTGTTTTTCTTCTTCGTCACAAAATGAAATGTGAGTTAAAAATATGACTCGCAGTTACACCCGAGATTCACTGGCAACGTTGTTTCTTCACTGATCTCAGAGGATAATACAGTGACGCAAGTTCTGACAGGCATTTATCGAACAATTATTATCTGAAACAGCATAGATCAACTTAATCTATCAATGTAATTGTTAGCAATTTTTTAAATTCACATCTAATTCACAGTCAAATTGACGAAAGTCTTATTAGTGAAATTGTCGAACTCTCTATTCTCACATAGATACTACAGTAATATATCATTTGATGAGTCCATTTTTTCAATACTTAATCCATTTATTATGATTCGAAATTGTTTACTTTATTATTATGAATCATTGACAAACTCTTACTTTCATTAAGTTTGACATAAAATGTATGTAATCCACTAAAATATTCACCAAATAAACAAAAACAATCGTCAAAAGTATTATATTTAGATCAATCGATGATTACATACAAATGTATCTTTTTTTTTTTCATATGTGATCGCCTCTTCAGTCAAGGAAATAGAGAGAGAAAAAAAAAATATTATTCGAATGATTATCCATTGATTCATCATCAATTAAGATTATAGAAAAATGTATCATTCTTTCTATGGACGAGATCGGTCAGATAGAGAATATTTGAATATATTGACATCAATGAGATGAGTAAAATAGATATCGATAATCATCGAATATTCATCTATTCAATTGAATCATTTACCAGATGAAATTCTTATTTAGATTTTTAAAAAATTCTCTAATGCAGTAATACTTTATTCTTTGTCAGGTGTTAATAAACGATTAAATAAAATTGTACATGACTCGATTTTTACAAATGATTTCTCTCTTTTTATGTCAACATCGGATGGTTTAGTTTATTCATTATCTTATCTAATACTTTATCGATTTTATTCAGATATTTTACCTTCGATTGATCAAAAAATCGAATGGGTTCATCTTGAATCGTTTGAATGGGAGTTATTCTTGATGTTAAAAATGATCCTAATTTATATTGAATTAGTTTAGATAATATTGAAGAAAAAAAGGTCTAGATCTTTTTACTAGTAACGATATTTTTGTTTTATTCTTTGAATAATAGACATATGAAATCTATAAATGAAATAAATTCCTAGATAAATATTTGGTTTGATTAATTAGATAATTAGAGATATGATTAAGTTTAAAATCATTTTTAATTTGATTCCTATTTATCAGTATGAAGAGAAGAAGATTGTCATAAAAGAGATGATCTTTCATGAAATTTATATACTTATATAAAAAATAAAATACGTAGATATTATCTCTAATTTACAGTTTCAAATAAATTTTTGAAAAATAATATGTCGAATAAAAAGATAGTTAATATAACAATTGAGATACAGTAGAAATAAATTAGTCGAAAGAAAACAAAATCAATAAACTATAGATAAATATAATCATTGATTAGATGAAACGTTCCATAATTCCTTAATTGAATAATCAACTTTTATCAGTTACTATCGATATTAGTAGAAAGAGAACACAAAATTATCTAACAAACAATAATGCAATTATATTTAATCGTATCTTTACTATGTTTCCTAATTTACAATATTGAAATTTTGGTCGATCTTCAATTTCCGATGAACGATTATCCTTTTGTTTTATACGTCTAACTGTTATTTCTAGAAATTTGTTAGAATTCTATGTCTGCTTGAGAAGTTTTTATGATTGTCTTTATTTACTTGATGGAGATTTCAATAAACTTCATAGACTTTATGTTGATCTCAGTGTCATTGGCTATAAGAAGAGAAGAGTTAACAATATGGGAAATTATTTTTTCAATTAATATCTTATTTAAATGAATTAATAATATTGTTTTCTTCTAGAAAAAACTACCTAGTTTTAAATCTTTTTGGTTACATTGTGAAACAATAACATTTGTTTATGATGAATTAGTTTTACCACTATTATATCGAATGTGAAATTTCTAAAAGGTTGATTTGTATATTAATGTTGGTGAAAGAAAAAGATTTGTTTAATGGTAATGATTTGAAGATGAATATTATTAATTATATTCCACAATTAAACAAATTCACATTTTATATTTGTTGATTAAGTAGCTTTTATAATGATATTAATTTACCATAAAATGATGATATTGAAAAGATATTTAGTAACTTTAATGATAAACAAATTATCTATTGGACTGATTATTTTCCAAAAGTAAAAAAAGGTTATTGTCAGATTTATTCATATCCATATCAACTGAAATATTATAATAATATAAATAATTTTCAAGGTGGAATATTTAAATATGTTCGTCAAGTTGAATTATATGATCAACGTCCTTTTCAACATGAATTTTTCCTTCGAATTGCTAAATTATTTCCATTGATGGAAGAATTAATTATGCATAACGAACAACGACAAATTAATAAACAATTTAGAAAATCAAGACTTACTAATCATTAAATATCTTTATCTTAAACAACTTGATCTTATTCAAAGTTGCATAGATTATTATCAACAATTCTTATTCGATACGAAAATCAATTTAGCATTTGGTGTTTGTGTTTATATGATTTATGAATTAGTAAAACAAGTGACGCGCAATTTCACAAGAAATAGAACAAGAACTAATTGTGCGAAGATTAATTATGTAAATTTATCTGGAGAAATACAATATTCGAGATATTCTGATCATTTTTCTGGTGAAAAACAACAACTTCCTCAATATGTAAAAGACTATTTTCCTCATACACAAATTGATTTGTTTTGGCATAAGTAATGCTTATATCAGGGTTAACGAAGAGAAATCTGTTTAAATAATATTGATCATTTATGAGCATAAAATGAAAATTCGAATGTCTGACATTTTCTCTTATTACGTACTGATAGGTTATAGTCAACATTATCGTTCTATTCTAAAATATATTTATTCAAAATTATCAAGATGTTTTAAAACTAATGTAACTCTCTTATTATAATAATTAAGAGTTGAAGTAATATTATTCTTTTAGTGTTGTCATATGACCATCCATAAGATGACATCATTTTTTGACATAACTATGTAACGTTTATTATAATATGTTCTTTCAGTTTAGATTTATTGAATATAAAGGTGAAAATTATTTTTGTTAAAAACGCATATACGTAAACGTAGGATATCCTAGGTCTGGATTCGAGTATTTTCGAGTATTTC